TAGTATCCAGTTATATTCTGTGAACCAAAGAAACAATACAGGCCTTTTTTTAAGCAATTCACTGGGCTTGCCAGAATCAACTCTTGAGGGAGTCTATTCCACAATTTCACAGCTCTCAATGTGAAGAAACCTTTCCGTGTTTAGAGATTACATTTCTTTTCTTCCAGGTATAAAGAGTGCCGCCTGTAATCTGTGATGACCTCAGGGTGAATAGCTCTACACCGAGTTCACTATATGAACCACTGATGTATTTTTACATGTTGATCATATCCCCCCTTAACCTCCTCTTCTCAAGAGAGAATAAATTCAGTTCCTGTAATCTTTCCTCATAGCTGATCTCCTCCATGCCTCTTATCAGTTTAGTTGCCCTTCTCTGTACTTTCTCTAGTTCCCCAATGTTCTTTTTGTTAATCGGTGCCCAAAACTGAACTGCATATTCCAGATGAGGTTTTACTAATGATTTGTACAGGGGTAATATAATATCTCTCTGCTCGCTTTAGAAACCGCAGCTTGGCATTGCATGCGATCCACCAGAACTCCTAGATCCTTCTCCACCATTGATTCCCCCAGATGTACCCCCCTAGTATGTATGATGCATGCATATTCTTAGCCCCCAAGTGCAGAACCTTACATTTATCAACATTAAACCTCATTTGCCACATAGTTGCCCAATGAAACAGTGCAAATGAGGTCGGCTTTGTAAGTTGCAGACATCCTGTAAGGACGTTATTCCACTGCACAGCTTGGTGCCATCTGCAAACACTGAAATGGGATTTTTAATATCAGACCCTATATCGTTTATAAATGTATTAAAAAGTAAGGGTCCCAACACTGAACCCTGGGGTACACCACTGATGACCCCAGACCATTCAGAGTATGAATCATTAACCACTACTCTTTTAATACGATCTTTTAGCCAGTTTTCTATCCATTTACATATGGATTTTTCCAAGCCCGTAGACTTTACCTTACACATTAGCCGTGTGTGGAGAACTGTGTCAAACGCTTTTGCAAAATCCAAGCATACCACGTCCACCGCCACCCCTCTGTCCAAGGTCTTGCTCACCCCCTCATAAAAATAAATCAGATTTGTTTGACAACTTCTGTCTTTCATGAATCCATGCTGTCTATTGCTTAAAATATTTTTTTCCAGCAAGAACTCATCTATTTGGTCTTTTATTAAACTCTCCAGTATCTTCTGAACTAACATTGAAGTTAAACTAACAGGTCTATAATTACTTGGTAAAGATTTTGACCCCTTTTTAAATATTGGCACCAATATTTACGCCAATCCAGTGGTACTATGCCAGGCATTAAAGAATCCCTAAAAATTAGAAACAATGACTTTGAAATGACAGAGCTCAATTCTTTAAGGACACGTGAGTGTATGCCAAGGTGCTTTATTCACTTTTATACTGTCTAAATATATTTGGATCATATCAATTGTGAGCCAATGTGGATCATCTGGAGCTGTGTCAATACCATGCCCATTATGGACAAGAGCTCCCCCATGCTCCTTTGTATACACAGAGCTGAAGGAGGTATTAAATAAATTTGCCTTCTCTTTGTCCCCAGTCACCCACTCTAGGATATTTTGTAAAGGGCCTACATGCTCGGACTGGACCTTTTTACTATTAATATATCTGAAGAATTTTTGGGTTGGTTGGTCCTGCTTTCTTTTGCCATCTGTCATTCGTTTTCAGTTTTTGTGGCCTTTATTTCCTTTTTGCATATTCTGTTATATTCTTTGTAATATTTAAATGATGATAGCATTCCTTCATTTTTATATTTAATAAAAGCTCTTTTCTTATTATCTATAGCCTTATTAACTTTGGCCATAAGTTACAGAGGATTGATTTTTAGCCTTTTAAACTTGTTGCCGATGGAAATATATGTGTTCACATACAGTCTTTTTGAAGAATTCCCATTTCTGTGCAAGGACTTAGACCAGAGTTTTATTATTAAACAAACTGTTAGTGTCAGATTGGACAGACATGGATGCTAAAACATTTGAAGCCAGGGTAATGAACCAGCAGGGTATTTTAACCTTCCTAAGAAAAATACAAAGGTTCATTTTCAAGGATTACAGCATTGTGATCCTAGAGATGCCAGACCATGGGATTAGACTGGACAGTTTAGGAGCAACACAAGAGAAGGTTTTAGAGGAAGAGGGTGAAGAGTTAGAGCCTTCAAACCCAGGAATGTCTGCTGTTTTTTTCTGTGGTCAGTCTGGACATTGGAGAAATCAGAGCAAAAATGTGACATCGCAGAAACAGAATATATTGAGCATGCCCTCACAAACTCTTCCACCACAAGCACCCTTTTTCATCCCCGAAGCACAGCTTACCATGAAATACCAACTCCAGTGGAAATATCAACAACAATAGGGCTGCTAGAAAGGTATTCCCCTCATGATTCCCCAGCTCTCTTCTGAATACGCTGAACAGCCCTGCATATCTCTCTTGGTAGGAGACGTGACATTATCTTGTGTAATTGACAAGGGAGCCACCCATTCTTGTTTATTTTCAAAATGTTTTTATTGAAGATTTTCAATAACAGGGTAATGTTATAATAATGACGTTCAGTTCAATAAAAATTGTAGTCATACAATACAGTATTGGAGCATGTGTACCCACCATTTGGCTGGGGACAAGGAATAAGGCAATAGTAACAATAGTAACATAGGTAGATATGGATATATACTGAACTTTGGTGAGGTGTAGAAAATGGTAGAGGGGTGTAAACATGGGGAGAACAGGAAGAGGGTAGGGAGAGGAGGAGGAGAAGTTATAATGGGATGGGGGGAGGTAGTACCAGTGTAAAATGGATGGGTAATTCAATTGTTTGTAAAAAAATCAAGCTTGTACTGAGCAATTGGGATGTTTTAACCAGTTAGTCCATTGAGAATTAAATTTGTATTGGGTGGAGTTGTTGAGGGCCGATCTTTTTTCCATTTTGCATTAAATTAAGATCTGTAATTTAGTGATTGAGAGAAGGGGCAGCAGTGGTGTTCCATAATCTGGTTATAGTGATTTTTGCTGCGAAAAGTATGTGGACAATTATGGTGCGAGAGGTATAGGGGAATTTTTCAATCCCAATGTGTAAAAGCGTAAGTAGAGGGTTTGGGTTGATCACTGTTTGGGTTATTTCAGAGAGTATGTGGAAGACACGTTTCCAAAAGGATTTAATTGATTTGCATGACCATAATATATGTAGTGGTGTGAACCTATGTTTCCGCATTGTCGCCAGCAAGAGGCGGAGTGTTTTGGGTAATACAAGTTTGACTGGGGTTAGATACCATTGATGGAGGATTTTTAATTATGCTTCCCAGTGTGAACTGCAGCGGGGATGATTTGTAAGTGGTATTAAATGCTGTGCTCCATGCGTGTGATGTAATTGTTTCTGAGAGAGTTTTTTCCCAGTTGGATAAGGAGGTAGATTTTAAAGCAAATTGCATGTTTGTTATGTATTTGTAGAAAGTGGAGATACCTTTACTGTGTATTGTGGCTTTGTAAAGAAAAAGTAAGTAGTATTAGGGATTTTTGTGGTGTGAGGTATACTCTTTGTTTGCATACAGTGGGCAATCCTTAAGTAGGTGAAGTATTCCGTGGATGGTAAATTGAACGTGGATTGGAGAATTTGAAATGGCTGCAGGGCGTGGTCTTTATAGAGGTCTGTTATTTTGTGTATGTTTCGTTTTTCCCATTGGAATAGGTCCCAGTGAGGGTGTAATGGAGTGTAATATTTCAATTGGGGTGAGAATTCATTTGGGGTCTGTGTATTCCATGTTCAGAAGATCGCGCCAAGCTTGAAGGGCGGCTTGAATGCATAGGTGTTTTAATTGGTAATTGGTTTGTAGCATTGTAGGAATTAGGAGTACATTTTGGGGTTTAAGTGGATGGAAGGGTAAGGTTTCCACTGTAGACCAAATTTTTTCTCTAGTTGGGTTCCACCAAAAATATATTTGGTCCAAAAGAATAAGTTATAGTAGGATTTTAAATGTGGAAGGCCCGCGCCTCCTTTGGAAGATGAGCGTATTAAGAGATTGGTAGTGCATCTAGGTTTTTTAGAGTTCCATAAAAATCTGGAGAGAATCGATTGCAATTTGGAAAGGAAGGTGTTAGGAACTGGTATGGGGAGGGTGTGAAAAATGTACAGGATTTTTGGTAGGATGTACATTTTCAAAGTCGCAACTCGGCCTAATTTGGAGAGTCCTGAGGTGCATAGGGTGGCAATTCTTGGGGTATAGTTTCAAGTAGTGTTTTGTGGTTTGATGAGAATAGTTGTTCCGTTGTTGAAGTGAGTTTGATTCCCAAATAGGGAATGCTATTTTTTTCCCAAGAGAAGGGGGAATTGTTTAGCAAGTAATATTTAGGAATGGTATGGTGTGTGGAGGTTTAAAAATTGAAGATTTGGGTTCATTGAGTTTATAATAGGAAACCATTGAGTATTGTTGAAGATGCATTCGTATTGTTTTGAGGGATTTGGTTGGGTTGGTAATCATCAATATGATGTCGTCTGCAAATAGACTAATTTTATATTCAGTGTTAAGGTATTTGATGCCAGTAAATGCCGGGTTATCTCTGAGATTAGAGGCTAGGGGTTCAATGAGCAATGCAAATATGATGATGGATAGTGGGGCATCCTTGTCTAGTACCATTGGTGATATCAAAGGGTTCTGATAATGTTCCGTCTGTTAATACTCTGGCTGAAGGCAGGGAATATAGTGCTAGGATGGCTGTTAGCATCCATCCCGTAATTCCAAATTTCTGTAATGTCAATCGCATAAATAGCCAATGTATTCGATCAAATGCTTTTTCTGCATCTAAGGATAGGAGTATTGAGGGCTGTTTGGTATGTTCTAAATGGTGGAGAAGAGATATAAGTCTTCTGGTGGCATTAGGTGCTTGGCGACCTGGCATGAATCCTACCTGGTTTGGGTGTATTTAAGTTAGGAAGATAAGGGAGTAATCTGAGAGCTATAATTTTTGCATAAAGTTTTATGTCTGTGTTAAGTAGGGATGTTTTGTTTAATTCTTCTTTTGTTTTAAATTGACATGAGGAGTTCATCTATTTGTTGGTTTCTTTGTTTAGAGATACGGGCGTTTAGTTGAATAAGAATACCTCTCATGTATGCCTTGTAGGTAGACCATAGTATAGGAATAGAAATATCAGGTGATTCATTCATTTAAAAAAACAGGTTATGAGCGTTTAGTATATGTTTTGGTCTATAATTTTGGACAAATTGTGGGTCTTTACCAGGTTTTGGGATTGTTGTTATTAGTTGATTTAAGCATGTCTTTTGGGGAATATGCCAGTGGTGGCAGCATGGTTAAAGAGTTTGGATAGGTATGGTGCTAGATTTGGGGCAAAATATTTGTATAAATTCGTTTGTATAACCGTAGTTTCCTGGAGATTTGTTAAGAGGGAGTGTTTTGGTGATATTTTCTATTTCTGTGATAGATATCGGAGTAGATATAGCATCAAGTTGGGATGGGGAGAGTTGGGGGAGTTTGGTTGTGTGAAGAAATTGTTGTATGGATGTAAGTGTTGGTTGGATGGTGTCAGGATCGTTTTTAAGATTATATAGTTGTTGGTAATAGGTCGCAAAGGCGTTAGCTATTTCTCGTGGATTTGTAGTTAAAGTATGTGTGGTTGGGTGATGAACTGAGGATATTTTGTCTTTTAGGTGTCGCTGTTTAATCATTTTGGTTAATAAGGCGTTAGCTTTGTTGCTCATGGAGTAAAATTTAGCTTTTGTTTTTTGAAGGTTGAGGTCGTATTTATAAAGTAGAAGGGTTCTGAGTTTGTTTCTATTCGTGGCGAGGGAAGTAGAGGTTGAGGGGTCATGGGATGTTTTGTTTAATTCTTCTTTTGTTTTAATTGACATGAGGAGTTCATCTATTTGTTGGTTTCTTTGTTTAGAGATACGGGCGTTTAGTTGAATAAGAATACCTCTCATGTATGCCTTGTAGGTAGACCATAGTATAGGAATAGAAATATCAGGTGATTCATTCATTTAAAAAAACAGGTTATGAGCATTTAGTATATGTTTTCTGTGGTCTGGATTCTTCAGTAAGGTTGAGTTCAATCTCCATATTCGAGGGGATCGAAGAATGTTGATTGTGGTCCAGAGTGATGGAAATTGGAGCGTGGTCCGACCATGTTATGGTGCCGATCTTGGAGAGGTGATATGTTGTAAGGTCCACTTGTCTGTGATAAAAAAATCAATCCTGGAATAGGAGAGGTGAGCCGGAGAAAAATAGGTGTAGTCTTTTTCTGTACCGTGTTGGTATCGCCATATATCGTAGAGGTCGTTGTGTAGAAAACGGTTAAAAGTATGTTTAAAGGAGTGTTTACTGAAAGAAGAGTCCAGGAGTGGGTTGTTTATGATGTTGAAGTCTCTTCCTAGTAGTAGTCTGCCTTGTCTCTGGGTAGTAATGATTGTGATTAGTTTGTTGTAGAATTGAAGTTGATTGGTATTTGGTCCATAGATATTAACCAGGGTATATAGGATTTCTTTGAGCTTGCATATTAAAATATGGGTAGCAGACTTGTGGTAGCCGTTCTTTTTCTTGGAGTTGGTTGCCATAAATATTGATGAGAAGTGGTGTAGGTTAATTTGGGAATTTCAGAGGAGGTAAAGTGGGATTCTTGAAGGAAAAGAACATCAGTTTGCAGAGAGCGAGCTTCTTTGTGCAGTAGAGATCTCTTGTAAGGAGAGTTGAGGCCTTGGACATTCAAAGATGATATGCTAATCATATTGTTGGGTATATACGGGTTGCATGGAGTAGGAGAGATAATTCGTAAGTTGTGTGAAAAGTTGAATATTTCTTTGTCGTGGATGTAAAGCTTACAAAGAGATCTTGATATGTTCGCTGGTCTGAAGAGGTTATTTCCGCTTGTAGTAGAGGTGTTTGAGGGAAAGGAGGTTGATGTGAGTGACTGGTGGTATGAGGTGGGTAGGGGGTTAAAAAAAAACTTGTGAAAAATACAAGTAACATATGTAGCAGATGTTGCTACTGTGTAATGGGGGAACAGAAACATACATGACTCAAGAAAGGAGTCATGTTGACGAAAAACTTGAAGTTTAGAAATGTTTGGTTAGGGTCCGTCTGTCAGCCTTTAGTGGTTTTGAGATGATACCCAGCGTGTTGGGTAGTAAATGGTGTAAGGGATTTTTTGGTTCAGGACTATTCTGCTTCCATTTGTTGTGGTCGGGTTGAAGTGGATTGGTGGGAGTCCATGGGTAGGATTTTCCATGTCTTCAGGAGTTCTATACCTGCTTATAGGTTTTTCACCGTGTAGAGCCTTCCTTGATGGTTAACGATGAGCTTCGTGGGAAAACCCCATTGGTAGCCGATACCATGGTTCCGCAGCGCTTTGGTTATGGTAATAAGTTTCTTGAGGTTGAGGAGTGTAGCTTTGGATAGATCCACAAACAATTTTATATTCGCCTGAGAAGCCGTAATTGAGGTAGGGTTTCTAGCAGCCGTCATGATTTTTTTCCCTCACGTGGTAGAAGTGCACACATGCTAGGATATCTCTAGGTATTACGGCGGTAGGAACGATGGTTTTGGTATCCTGTGTGCCTGGTCTATGGCAAGTTCCACGTCCGTTAGAGAAGGGATGAGGTGTTTCATGTATTGCTGGATGTAAGGTACTATGTCACCTGTAGGGATAGCTTCCGGTATTCGCGGAATTTAATATTGTTGCGCCTGGAGCCGTCTTTTAGGTCTGCCAATTTTAGGTTAATTTGTTCTATGTCAGCTCCGTGGTCTGTGTGGGCATCTATGAGGTCATTGTGTGCCATGAACATTTCCCCATTCTGTTCTCAATATGGCGGATGTGTCGTTCCTGATTTTGTACCGCGGATGAGATTTGCGATATAGTTGCTGTCAGGTCATCATGTAGTGTTTGTTGCAGGGATAGTAGCATACTTTTCATTGAAATTTTCAGTGATAGGATGGTCAGAAGCAGGAAAGATTTCAATTAAAGATGGAGTAGAAATGGCAGTAATTGTAGGAGGAGAGGAAGGTTGCAGGTCAGAAACAGATTGTATGTCCAGTCTGGGTCTGGACTTAGCAGGACTACTTGTAGAAGGAGACAGGGGCAGAGAAGACTCACCCGGGTCTCCTGGGTATAGTGGTGCCTTGAGCCTGGGGTCTGTGTTCTGCGCTGTGTCTCCCTCTGCTTGTGTGAGGAGACTGTCAGCTGAGGAGCCAGCGCCATCTTGGATGCAGGGGCTGAGAGCAGGGAAGAAGCTCATCAGCTTCCCTGGCTGCCCTGGTGATCTGCAGTGTCGGGGCATGGTCCAGAGGATGGTAAGAGCCTCTGTATCCTCTTATGTCTCTGGGAGAGAGGCTGCGGTGTCTCTGGGTCCACTGTGTGCCGCGGTTAGGCTGACGGCGGGACGGAGCTCTTACTCCGAGCTGTCATCCCGGAGCCGGCCACGCATGCGCCCCCCCCCATTCTTGTTTAAAGGCAGCGTGTTATATGGGTGCTGTGCTGGAGTGTGAACCTTCTATGGGAAATAACAGATTCTAACCAAAACCTGGGAAACCCCTCTGTTAGAGGTGAGCAATCCCTATGGGCGAGGTCACATCATAAATCATTCTTTTAAGGTCACCATATGGAATCACCATATTGTTTTATTGCCATTGAGGAATTGGAAGGGGTAGATCCTAAAGTATTGGCAAGGGATAAGTTGGATGTGGAATTCATACGCTGTACACCATAGAAAGTCACAATGAAGCCTAACACACACTCCGTTTTTCAAAAGCAATACCCTTTGGCCAAGGAAAAGCTGGGAGGTATTAAACCCATGATTGAAACATTTTTACAGGAGGGAATTCTGGCTCCTGTGATATCGCCTTACAACACCCCAGTTTAAACCCATTAAAAAACCCAAGGGTTTATACAGATTTACTCAAGATTTAAGGGCAGTTAATGCTTTTGTAGTACCCATAGATCCTATTGTCCCAGAAGTATCATCATTGGTGACCTTTATTCCCTGCACCATGCAATATTACACCATCCTCGATTTAAGTAATGCTTTGTTTTCCATCCCTGTTGTTGAAAAGACACAACTGCTATTGACTTTTATGTTTAACAATCGCCAAATAACCTGGCATCGTATGCCTATGTGCTACATCGATTCCCTGGCAGTATATTCCATGGCACTTCGTGAGTCCTTGAAGGAATGGATTCCCTGCCATGGTTCGGTACTTTTCTAGTACTGTGATGATCTCTTGGTGTGCAGCCTGAGCAGAGAGGCATGTAGGCAGGATAGTTTGTCTCTGTTAGCTTATTTTGGGTGATGAAGGACACAAGGTGATGAGGCATAAGATTAAATTTTGCAATGAATATGTTGAATATCTGGATTTCACTCTAGCACAAGGTATGCACACTGTGAGTAAGTCAAGGATTCAAGCATTCTGGGTCTGGCCCACCCAGTGACTAAGAAGGATATGCTATCCTTTCTTGATATGGTCAACTACTACAGGCAATCGATATCTGACTGTTCAATTTATGACAACATATTGAAGCAAACTACAGTGGTTAAGGCACCCGACCAAAATACTGTGGGCCCATGAGTAACGTGATGCCTAAAAAACCTTGAAGTCCTGTTTAGTTCCCTCTGCTGCTTTGGGCTTACCTTCTTATACTGTTAAATTTCATGTGTATGCTAGACACAATTGTAAAACCATGGCGGTGGTAGTCACCCAGGAACATGGAGAGGCCATGTGCCCAGTAGCCTATTTTTCCAAAGTATTCCCTGTGCCAGTACAAAGCATTTCAGCATGTCTGAGAGCTTTGGCAGTGTGTGCTATGGGAGTGGAGTTTTAACTTATCTATTGAATACTCTTCTCCAAGTTCAGGACCAATTGCTGTTCTAAACGGAATGCTAGGTTTGATATCAGAATCTAATATTCCTCTTGAGGAACATGATCATGTCTCAATCATACATGAAGACACCACCCCCAGAGCTGACATGTTACAAGAACCAATTAAAGGGGTCTCTGACATTTTTGTAGACGGCTCTTGTGCAAGATTTAATGACAATGCATATTTGTCAGGCTACGCAGTTGTCCAACTTCCAGACACAGTGTGGGAAGCAAAGCCCCTCTCTTATCCTTCAGCACAAGCTACTGAGCTCATAGCTCTTACTCATGTTTGTGAATTGTTTGAGGGAAAGGATGTTAACATTTACACAGACTCCAAGTATGCATTTGGTGTAGTGCATGATTTTGGCAAGATTTGGCAGCATACAGGGTTTATTACCACTAATGGTAAAGGTATTTCTCATGCATCCTTAGTGAATGATCTTTTGGAAGCTATACACAAACCCCGTACTATTGCTGTTATAAAATGTAGAGCCCACATATCTTCACATGACCTCATTGTTCTGGACAATGCATTAGCTGACCATACGGCCAAGGAAACTGTCTTGCAGCTATTACAGGACTCTGCCAACCTTACTTTAACTATGTTAGAGCCATCCATGCTCCCAGAACAACATTTGCTCAAAGAATTACAGTACGCTGCCACTATGGAGGATATTCAATATTGGAAAGATAAAGGTTTGACACTGGAACAGAACAGTCTAATGTTCAAACAGGGGATAATATGGATACCTCAACACATTGCACCTGTACTTATTGCACAGTTTCATGGCATAGGGCACAGAGGATAGCAAATAACTTTGCAGGAAATGAAAAAGCATTTTTGCATACAAAACTTAACACAGCGGGTGCAAGATCATACGTGACAAATCTTATAAGGCTTTTGAATGGCATCTACAGTGATGTGTCTCTGTCATTTACTCTTCCCTCACAGGAACCAACATATCCTTTCAAGCCAGGAGACAACGTGGTTGTTAAGTTCCTGCATAAATACAAGGTCCTGGGGACCCACCTTATGGAGAGCCCACAGTGATAACAGCTGTGACACGTACAGTAG